TGGGCTCGGGGAGGCGAGGGCTGAGGGCACCGGCGGGGGTGGGGTTGGGGGGTGACCACACAACTGCAACTTGGCAGTGAGAAGAGGGGGCCCAGTCAACCCCCTGGGAAGGGGTGTGTGTGTGTGTGTGTGTGTGTGTGTGTGTGTGTAAGTCTAGCATTTCCCTCAAGCTCCCTGGGAGGATAGCCTTGATTCATCAGCTTCCCTTTCCTCTGGGGATCCTATTTCTATTTCTGTAAGGTACATCTAGAAGATACAGGGTTTCAAGCTACTTCCTGAACTCTGGGCAGCTGGTTGCCCTGTTTCTGGACCAGGGGTCTCCATGGGCCTTGTGACTCCCGAGAGACACTAGCAGCCCTCCCCTTCCCCCTATCACCCCAGACAGGAGCTGATGATTCAGGATGTAGAGACTTGTGTCATTTCTGTTGTCTTGTCCCCAAGGTATCTAAAGTCTCTTTCCAGGAATCATTTGCAGAGTGTAGTGTGAGGGTCACAAGCTTTTGGAAGATGAATTTTGAAAGATGCTGTTACTATACATACCATCAGCAGGAGAAGGCTGGCTAGCGTGCAATAGTCAGCTTAGTGCTAACGCACGCACAGGGCTCCAGGGCTCGGGTGAGAGGAGGGCTGGGGGACTGGCTTGACTGACCTTCCCTGTTTACCTTTTGGCTAATGCAGTGGCTCAAAGCCTGGGGGGCTTGCAGTGTTGGTGGGAAAAAAGTCTTCATTGGGGATAAACTTGCTTACCCTCCCCCCGACACGTACTGGATTTGGAACAGTGAGAAGGAAGACTAGCTCTCTTATGCCAAGAGCTGCCCCCCCTCCGTCTTCCCATTGTATCCAGGGGCTCTAGCTGGCAATGGCAGAGGCTCCTTTGCTCCCTCGTCATTAAAATGCAAAGAGAAGCTGGGCTGCTGGCTGGCAGGACGCCAGAGAGGGCTGCGTGGTCACCTAGTCCTCCTGCAGGCTTCATTTTAGACAGGTTATCCTTCAGTTTCCTTTGCTTGGGGTCTGGTAAATTCTAGAGGATCCCTGGCTTTCATGTGCCCAGTTCTAGGGGGTGCTTTGGGAGCTTTTAGTTGGGTGGGGGGAGGGGACTGGGATTCGTAAAGCATGAATAGTTAGCCCAGGGCTTGCAAGCTCCTCAAAAGGCTACAAGGCCAGTCAGCAGCCTGTTTGGCATTCCACAGCTGGCCTCGTTTTCGTTTTCGCTAGAAGCAGAGATGGAGAACCCTGATGCATAGTAAGGAGAAAGCAACACCCCCTTTTCCCTTTTCAAAGGAGACAACAAGCAGCCAGTACTGTGCTGTCCTGGGAATGGGCAGCAGTGTGGTCCCACACCAGTGCTATGCCAAGAAATCAGGCTCTAGGGCATTAGGAACAGCTACCACGGTCACCCTAGATTCCCACAAGAAGCTTTGCTGTAAGCTAAATGTGGGTTCAGGTTAGCTGTCACAAGGCAATGAGGCCTTGATAGCGTTCTCCTTGATAGCATTCCCGGGGGCTGAGGAGCGCAGGTATCTCTCCTTGTAGCACAGAGGATCTTTCCAAATAGTGGCTAAACTAAGATTTATTTATGTACTTAATATTAACATTTTAAAAGATTTCATTTACTTCAGCAACATGGAAGACAACTGAGTACACTGTTAAAACACCTAAAATCCAGAGATGGCCAGGGCAGGAAATCTCCCAAATAGCGCCTCCATGCCTGATGTGGGATGAAGGATCGGTGCCAAACCTCCAACCTTGGCCAGGCTCTGCCATTAAGCTGAGACAACCCAGAGGTAAGATGGCTTTGGCCTCATCCCCATCAGTGGGGAGGCCTTACCTGCTCACAAATAAGAAACGGCTAGATTGGTACTGAGGATTTGATTCCCAGTGAGTCATCAAGAATGTTAGTTGGTTCTCTCTTCAGCAGGTGGCTTAGCACCTTTCTGGAGAAGAGAGAGCAGTAGTCTGGGGCCAGGGGGCTGGAGAGTGAGGGCCAACATCCAACAAAGACTTCCTCCCTTTTGGTAACAGGCTGTCCCTTTTTTTTCAACAGCAAGAGCCTTGAAATCCAGAGGAGTCATTAAAAAAACTCCTTCTGGCTGCAACCTGAAAGTATCTCCCAAGCCAGACTGGGGAAGAGATGGCAAGTCCAACTTCAGTGGGCTTCTTCTTCAATAGGGGAGCAGCCAGAGAAGAAGCTGGTATTGCTGGCCAGAGCTCGTTTCTTTTTCTTCCCTGGAGCTTTATTTTCTTGGGATTCTGCTACATGTTTCGATTCTGGGAGGCCAAGGGAAGAGGCAGCTGGAGTCGTCTTCTTTAACAGCACCTGCTCCACATCACACATCTCTTTGAGGAGCTAGAAAGGACAGAGACAGGTATGACTAGATCCTGGGTAGGGGCAGAGGCTCAGCTCAGCCTCGCCACTACAAATGCTCAGCACACTGTAGTATGAGGTGTCCCCCAAGATCGGTCTGTCAAAAAGAAAAAGAAAGACTGGCCTATGCGCAAGTCCCACTTCCCAGCAAGCTGATCGTACCTCTGCCCCCTTTTCTCCCACTGCACCCTGTCTTAGCTAATGCAGAGAGGAATGCTAATAGAGTTGAAAATGCCTGCCTTTAGCCCACCTACCTTGCTGTTGGGAGTGGCACAGACAGGGTTAAAGAAGCTCAATCCTGAGGTAACCTCTGTGGGGTCCTCCAGTTTGAAAGAGCCTTCGGAATCCTGGGTGGGCTCAACAGTGCCCAAACTATCCTGAGAATCAGACAGGCCTATTAGAAATGTGGCTACCAGGGTTACAAAATCAGTCTGCTCCCCTTTAACCAGTGAGGTACCAGCTCTGAGTGCCTCATCTGCCAGTCTAAGCAAGTCTCAGGGAGACCCCTGCTTGGGGTTTCTTGCTAGCAGCCTCTGAAGGCAAAGGACTGGGTAGGATATCACAAAGCAAGGTTGAAAACAAGGCCAAGCCTTAGTCATTTCTTTGATTAATCTTCCACCCTCTATAATATGCAGTACCCTTGTTAGCATGTCTATAGGGTGTTGCCTGTATTGGGTCTTCCTTTCAGAGAAGCAACTAAGGCCAAGAGTGAAAAGTTACTTAGGTAACAAGGAGACTCTGTGGTAGAGCTCAGATTAGAATTATAGCCTGTTGTCATGGAAACATAATTGGATTGAGAGTCAGGAAGCCTGAGGTCTAATTTTAGCTGTCATGACCAGCTGTGCAATACCAGGTGAGTCACTTAAGCTTATCTCTCTCTGGGTCTTAGTTTCCCTCTCTGTATAATGGGAGCATTGGACTAGATCAGTGGTTTTACAACCAAAATTCTTAAGAGGAAGCCCAATACATAAACAAGTAAAGAGCAAGTTGCTTTGATTGACATGAGGTCAAACCGAACCAGGCCATGGTCCTCGGTTCAAGAAGTACTTCCATGGAGCCACTAGGGTAGACTCCAGAACCCAAATTGAAAAAGCCATGGGAACAGAGATCCCTGCTACTTCTACAATTCTTAGCCTGAACCCCAGCTTGTCACGTTAGTCCTCTAATGACTATCTTCCTTAGAAGTCATTTTAATAGAAGAGCCGGCAGAACCGTTCACATGCAGATGTTCAAGAAATGTATGATGAACGAACGATCATTATATCAAGCTTGCTGGAGTTGTTGTACATCACATAGAGAGCTGTAGGAACAGGCTTTCGCCATGAGCACAGGTAGGTGTAAGGCAATCTTTGTTTCCCTGAGTTTGTTATTCCTGGGAATATAAGGAGGACAGGTACAATTAACTTGGCCCACAACAGTGACTATTTGAAAGACCAAGTTCCTGTGGGTCTTTCCTAGAGCCATGGAATAACTGGTTCCCATGGAGAGGGTCTAAGCAACTAATTTCTCAAGATGTCAGAAGGATTAATTTCCTTCCTGGAAGCTGCCACGTGGCCCTTATAGTTTCGGCTAAGCCTCTGGGCTAGTTTGGTCCTGCATGTCTATGTGCCTGTAGTTGCCTGCTTTCCTATTCCCTGTTTCTGCCTCAGAAACAGCACCACAACTTTACAGCCAAGGCTTGGGGTGGGGAGCTGCATATCTGGAAATCTCCTGGGACAGGCTGTGGTTTCTGAAAGGGGTATGTGAACAGGCTGGCAGCGAGGAAGAAGGACCGAGAAGTGAAATGTCTCTGGTTGCAGAGGGCCAGAGAAGGGGCAGGAGACTCCAGGTTTCACGATGGTGGGAACTGGAGGGATGTCTGAAGGGACGGCCGATCCTACCTTTTCTTGCTGACGGTTCCTACACTTTGTGGGGTCACAGCTGCAGTCCGTGCCGCAGTCCGACTTTTGTCTCCTGCACCCACACTGCTTGTTCCCACACCAGCCCTTGCAGGAACACTGCAAAAATGGGTGTGTAGAAAGAAAGACACATTACCAAAAGAGTTAGAAGACTAATTTAACATGCCTTCCCTTCCTTTGCAAGCCTTTTCAGAAAAAATAATGGAAAGTACCATTGACTTTACCATGCTTCTATCTCCTCAGTCCCCTCTTCTTTAGTGAAACAATGATCATCAGAACCACGAGAGGTTGTCTAAGAACAAGTCATGGTAGACAGATCCATTTTCTTGTTTTGATACCAGAGGGATACCATGATAACACAGGCTAACTGGCAAAGACGCTCATGACAATTTTATGGTCAAAGCAAAGAACTGCAAGTTGGATGGTAGGAGTGTTAGGTATATTTAAGGACTGAGTATAGTTGCTCGATATCTTTCGATCTACCCAGCTGTACTTGCATCCAACTCACAGTTCTACAGCTTGTTCAGTGTCAGCCTGGGCTACGTCTGCAGCCGTTGAATCAGTCAACGTTTTAATAAATCACCGATGATATGAAATAAAGTCATTTACATTTTATATGGCACTTTACAGTTTTCAGAGTACTTTCATATATATAAATACAGAATCTCATTTGAATCTCATAGCCTGTTGACAAGGTAGGCATGTTTATCGGCTGTAATGACGACACAAAACTGGAAGGGTGATTAATAAGTAAGATATCAGAATCACAATTCAAAAATATTTTGACAGGCTGGAATTATGGGCTGCAAGTAGAAAGAAAAGTTATAACAAGGATAAACATAAGTCTGGCATCTAGGTTCTCTCCACATCAGCCATATAAATATAGATCTGGCTTAAAAGCAGTTGGTGCAAAAAGGGCCTAAGGATGTGAGGTGTCAGGAAGCTCCATGAGTCAACAGTGTGAAATGCCTGTCAAAAAGCAAATGAGTCAGGGGTGCCTGGGTGGTTCAGTTGGTTGACTCTTGATTTCGGCTCAGGCCATGATCCCAGGGTCCTGGTATCGAGCGCCTGCATTGGGCTTTGTGCTGACTGTGGAGACAGCTTGATATTCTTTCTCTCTCTCTCTCTCAAATAAAAAAAAAAGCAAATCAGTCACGTAGAAATTTGGAGTTTGGAAATCATGGGGAACAATTGCTTCACTAGACTCAGTATCAGTCAGATCCCATTTGAAATGATGCATCATCTTATATTGGGCATGATCATTTTTTTCAGGTATATCAAAGCACAGACAATAAAAAAATTCACTCATGTTCTTATTCTTCCCTTAATAACTAAAATACAGATATAACTGAAGCCTCCTACCTACCCTTTCTTGATCCCATTCACCTCCCACTCTCCCAGGGGCAAAGTCTCTTGAATTAGGTGTTTATCACTCCCCCACAGGTCTTTGTACCACGTATGAGTTTCCATAAAAAAACAAGGAATTATCTTACGTCTTTTAAACTTCATATAAGTGGAATATTACTATATGTTGACATGCATTGCTCTGGTTCCACTCATTTTATTTATTTTTTTTTAATGTTTATTTATTTTTGAGAGACAAAGCATGAGTAAGGGAGACGCAGAGAGAGAGGGAGACACAGAATCTGAAGTAGGGTTCAGGCTCTGAGCTGTCAGCACAGAGCCCTACGTGGGGCTTGAATTCATGAGCCGTGAGATCACGACCTAAGCCGAAGTTGGACGCTCAACTGACTGAGCTACCAGGCGTCCCCAGTTCCATTCATTTTCATTCTACGAACACACCATGATGTAGTCACACTCTTCATCGTGCCATGAGCACACTTACCAACCAGGCTGCAATAGTAATAGCTGGCATTAATGTATGCCAAGCACTGTTATAAGTGCTTTCTGTGTGTTAAACCCATTTAATCAGTAAGTATGTTTCCTTGTGGACATATTCAGGAGTTCCATGTGGGTATGTGTTTAATAAAGAGGACATTAAGCAAAAAAAGAGGCAGGTGACTAGCATTATAGGAAGCTATGTTATAAGAGAAATGGTGGAAGGAAGGAAGGAAGGATAGTTTAGCTTGGAAGAGACATAGGTGGCAGAGCTCACAGAATGACAGACTGGAGTCAGAAGAGACCTCAGCAACCATCTAGAGCCTGATTTGAAGCCCTTCTCTCATGTCCCTGGTCTAATTATCTGAAGCTCTATTTATCCTGAGATGAGGATAGTTTCTATGTAACTTCTGACCAGAGGATCCAATTATGCCATGTGGAATGATAAGGGATCAGTTTAACTCCACTTTCACAGCATTCTTGTTCTTATCCTGAATATAATTTCCACTCCCCAGTCCCCCTCTGTTCAGATCCTCTCAAAGCTAAATGGACCTAGTTTCCTCAATGATTCACCGCATGACATTGTTTCCAAGAATCCTCACCACCGTGGCTATATGCCAATTTGTCCAAGTTCATCCTTAATTGTGACATCCAGACATGAGCATAACTTTCTTTTTTTTTTAATTTTCTAATGTTTATTTTATTTTTGGGAGACAGAGCATAAGTGGGGGAGGGGCAGAAAGAGAGGGAGACACAGAGTCTGAAG